ACCTGTGCCTCAAGGGACCAAACTAAAAGTCAAAGGAGTGATACTTCCCCGCATTGACAGATGGTGATCACGCCTGGTTGCAGAGACCACTATATAAAAAAATCCCTCACTGTTGGGATTTTCAGATTGTATTTATGATAGATTTAGAAAAATCAGAATTGAATGAGTAAACACGAAAAAATCCTTCTTACTATTTTTTTCAAGATTTTGTCACAGTAAGGATTAGTTAAGAGAGACAAATCACTATCTAGCCAGGGTGATGCAATACTCTGATTATTTCAACAGCAAAACATTTCAACATAATATAGTGCATTTAAATAAATATGTATTGCAAGCCACAATGTACTTATTTGGTGCCTAGTAGAAGTTAGGACCTGAAGAGTCACTGACAGAAATTTCATTTACCCTAGTGCAGTTTTAGAAAAGGTACATGCTGGAAGGACTCTTCTTTAATCATTATGGGCTCAGTTTTCAACACTGGTCTCAAAATTAACAATTTCAATTCACTTAAATAATTCTTCTGATGTAATTTCAAGAGAGGAAGACTCACTTGCAGTTTCAGATGGCTCAGTCGATATCCAGCCATCTAATTTCTTTGCACACAGGACTCAACAAACCTCCAGCCTCCCCATTTTATTTTTCTGCTTCTTTCTTGTTCTCCATGTCTATGACCTAAAATGTTCCTCATGTAGGAGTTGTTGTAAATTTGGAGATGAAAAAACAAATTTAACCCATTTTAATATATTGGGTAGTTAGAGTTACTACCATTTCAAATATTAAACTATTGCACATGATAATTTAAGCCTCTTTTGTAAAAAACATTTTATTGTTTTGACTGAGACCCACTTATTCCCAGTTGGATTTGAACTACTGATCGTCCTGCGTCCACCTCTCAAAGGCTGAGAGGCAACAATGTGCTCCTGTACCCAGCTAAAGATTTAGTTATATTTGCCAACAGTCGAAATACAGTTAATTCTCTTTAGAAATCTGTCCTAAAGACAAAATAGTTACAAATAAACATGTCAATAATGGAATTTATGATGTCTTTAGTCATATATTCAATATATTGCTGATAATAGAAAAAATAATAATAGTAATGTTTGTAAAATATTATACTAGTTTTCTCATATTGAAAAATAAAGTCTAACCAAAAGTGGTAAGCATAAGAATATTTCATTAATTCCAGTTATATGAAACTTAGGAGCTTGCAAAACTTACCTATGACACAAATCAAAATAACATTTACCTACACATGCTGAGAGTGGTTAAATTATATGAATTGATTTTCTTAGGTGACATTTCCAATGAATGTTTTTTGAGATGTGGCTTACATGTCTGTAATTCCATAGATAGTTGTCAAAATTCATTTTGCTAAAAACATGGAAATCCACTTTATATAAATTTTCCTCAATTACAAATGAAGCATTTGTAGGATATACACATTGGTAGGTATTGTTTCCTTAGTCTCAGCTCTGACATCATCATGGGATTTGGAGCCTCATGATGTGGGGCCTAGAGCTGCAAAGGCCAAGTAACTCTGGGTTTAGCCCTGCCAAAGCAAGAAGGAAGGGAGGAGAGAGAGAATAAGGCTGAAGGGGGATTATGCCTTGCCTTTTCCAATTTATTTCTTGTTCGTTATCATTCTGTATGTAGCTCTTTGGGATGTAATTCCCAGTCATATTTTCCCCACCTGGCAGCAGTTTGACCCACAACATCAGTCCAGTCCAAATTCATTGTGTAGGTTTTGTCAGCACTACAGAAAAAAAGGACAGTTTACATCACAGGGTCCAGCAACTGGACACTGTTGAAAATTGAGATGCCTCCAGAAGACTGGAGTTGTGTATATGCAGTTAAGTAGACTATGGATCTACTCTTTTGCAAACTTAACAGCCTAATGGAAGATGGAAGACTTTTCTGGGATGTTGGAATGAAAAATCTTTGACACTAGCCACTTCAGACAAAAAGACGATCAACACTTTTCACACGTGAAGCTTTCAGAAACTTGGCTGACCTCACGTACAGTTCACCTCTATTTTTCCGCTCCTACTGGCAAATGACTGGCATATTTCTCTTTAGGGAAATAGACCAGTTGAAGAGAAATGGACGTAGCTATGACAACTTGTGGTTGCAGCCCAAACAGATGGGATTTTATTCAATAATTCTTCCATGAGACCCATTAATAAGCAATCTTTTTAAAAATGCATAGTGGCCTTAAAATTTGCATTTTAAAATCATATTTTAACACAAATAGAGAAATATGAATCATCGCATAAATTTGGGATCCCAAGCAAGAGAAGAGGAAAGAAAGAGGAGGAAGAAAGAAGGAAAGAACGTGATACAAACTGAAACTGTTACTAAGAAAATGAATAAAATAAAATAAAGAGAAGGAAACTTACAAGGAAAGGTAAATTCATAATTAATGCATAATTACCACCTTTATATGTGACACAGAATAGCACTGAAGGAGATAAAAGAAATCTTTGTGTGTGTATGTGTGTGTGTGTGTGTGTGTGTACAAGCACACACTACAAAAGGAGAAATCAGAAACTTGGAGAATGAATCAGAAAGTAAAAGAGAAAACACAGGCTGGTGGGAAGATAGTTCCAAGCAAAGGTCTTTCCTTCCAAGCACAAAGGCCTGAGTTCAATCCCTGAGAATTCCATGGTGGAAGAACTTCTACAAGTTGTCCTCTGATGCTCACAGTGGTATGTTATCTGTGCAGGTACACAAAAAGCTAGGTGGACAAATGCAATAAAAATTCAGCAAAACTAGGAATAGAAATGAAAATTTACAGGGCTGGAGAGATGACTCAGTGTTTAGAACACTCTGGGCTCTTTCATTACCTAGGTTTCATTACCAGCACCCGTATGTGCTGTGTAATATTAGTTTAGGATGTGTTGCATTTGCTTATGCTGTGGAATATTTGTTTAATGATTCAAAGATTTGTTGTATTATACTATGTTGCATTTGTTTAACTCTGTAAAGCTGTATTACTTTGCCTATCTAAAACATCTGATTGATCTAATGAAGAGCTGAATGGTCAACAGTTAGTCAGGAGAGGGATACATGGGGCTGGAAGGCAGACAGAATAACTAGGAAGAAAAATCTAGGATTGGGAGAAGAGCAAGGAGCAAGAAAAGAAGAGGGGGACACCAGGAGTCAGCCACCCAATACAAGCCAGCTATGGAGTAAAAGTGAAAGTAAGATTATACAGAAGAAAGATAAAAGTTCAGGGGCAAAACATATCAAAGAGAAACAGGATAATTTAAGTTAGAAAAGCTGGCTAGAAACAAGCCAAGCTAAGGCTGGGCATTTATAAATAAGAATAACTCTCCCTGTCTATTTGTTTGGGAGGTGGGTGATGGGCCCCCAAATAGTTAAAAAAAAAAAAACTACATGAACTACACATGTTTACTATCAACTCTGCAGCACCACAAGAATCCATTACACTTTTCTGGCCTCCTCCAGTACTTCATGCAAGCAATATACAGATGAACCTGCAGGCAAAATACCAATAAACATAAAATATAATAAATCTCCTTAAAATTTAAAATTTCCTTTACATAAAAAGAAAAGGGGAATATACATGAAAGATATAAAACTAAAGACTATAAATAATTTACAATTTTCCAAGGAACATTGTAAAGAGAAAGTAGAAGTAAAAGTAAATCCTCAAATATATTAAGGTCTTCTCTCTGTTGTCAAATAGTCCATTCTGTAATAAACACATCTATTTTTATGCAGCAGTAATTAATTCCTGGTTTATTTTGCTTTAATTAATTTTAAAAGAATAAATGGAAACATACCTGTCATACAAAAATTCAATTAAACATTCAGCAACGAACAAAAATCCACACATATAAAATAAAAATAACTTTGTATGTCAATGTCACTTTTCCAAATTCTAAACTCAAAATTAGGAACTTGAAAGCTTATATTAAATTATACAATTAAAGATAAATTTATTTAGCTATGCAATCATTATGCTATCATTATGTATTTTGAATCTTCAAGTTAATCAAGATTGTAATACAATGGTGTAAAAGTAGAAATTGCAACCATAGACCTCATATGTTTCAAAATGAGTGGATGCAGCTATGGCTACATGTACCAGAAAAAAAAAAAATCTAAGAGTTCTCCAAATTAATTCCCTTGAAAATCATAATAATATGCTAAGTTGAAGGTCACATGTGTTATTAAACTCAACAGACATCCGGTCAAGAAGTTCAAACTGGGGCTAGAAAAGTGATTCAAGGGTTAAGAGCAATTCCTGCATTTACAGAAAACCTGGGTTCGTGTCTCAGCATCCAAATACTAACTTCAGTTCCAGGGGAATCCGCCGTCCTCTTCTGACCTCACTGGGCACTGCAGACCTCTGCTGCTCAAAAATACATACAATCACATGTATATATAAAATCAAAATAAATCTTAAAAAGAAAAGGAAAGTACCCAAAAGTATAATGAATATAAAAATTCATATAGTAACAGATTCAGAGAAAGATGTTCTGGCACACCATAGAGGAAACAGTATCTTTTAGTGGACTTTAACATTATATTAGATCTATATTACCACCCCTACACACACACACACACACACACACACACACACACACACACACACCTCGCGGTTTCAGTTACCATCTGTGATAACCCAAAATATAAACTGCAAAATTCCATAAAGAATCCATGCTTCTGCCATTTGAATACAAAGCTGAGAGGCATCGTGAAATCTTTTGCCATCCTGCTCCTCCCCACACAGCGATCACTCGTTAATGCAGTGCATCGGCACTGTATTGGCTCCCTATGCATCAGTCACTCGGCAGCCATTTCTGTTATTAAAGCAACGGAGAGCACTAACAGAGTGCTTCTATTCAAGAGACACTTCTCTGGTAACCTAGCAATGGTTACCATGCCGACATCATTCATCTCGTCTCATCGTATACGCAGTTGTTTCACACCACGCCATCACAAGGGGGAAATACTATAATACGACACTGAGAAGAAGCAGGGTTTGATGGCACCATCTGTAATCCCACCCCTCCGGAGGCTGAGGCAGGAGGACAGCCCATTCCAGGCCAGGAACAGTTGCATAAAAAGTTCCAAGCCCACCAGCGCTGAAGAGACTTCCGGCTTCCTACTTCCGGCTTCCTCCTTCCGGCAAGATGGCATCTGAGCAGGAGCTGCAGACGCCGAGGCTTCCGGACTTGCTGGAAACCGGCAGACAACTTCTGGAGGAGGTAGAAGCCTCAACACAACCCATGGGCTCCAGGCTAATCCAGGATAAGGTAACGAGGGCCTTGGAACTCCTGGAGAAAGCCTCGGACATGTTATTGCAGCTCGATATGTTCAGCAGGAACGAAGATTGGGAGGAGATTGCTTCCGCTGACCTCAAGTACCTGATGCTGCCGGCCCTGAAGGGCGCGCTCACACTGAAGCTGGTGGACACCACACATCGCGTCAACCACCTGCAGCAGGCTCGAGACCACTTCATGAACTTCCTAACCCAGAGCCACAACTACCACTTGGCAGATTTTCAGCTGCCCTGGGGCCAGAGCAGCTCCCAGGAAAGCAACCAGCCCCCTTCAGCCCTCCTGGAGCCCAACCTTGTTGCCATGGCATCCCAGAGGCAGGCCAAAATCCAGAGGTACAAGCAGAATAAGGCGGTGGAGCAGAAGCTGGCTGCCCTGAAGTCAGCAGTGGAGAGTGGTCAGGCTGATGACGAGCGTGTGCGGGAATATTACCTCCTTCAGCTGCGCAGGTGGATCAACATCAGCTTGGATGAGATCGAGAGCATCGACCAGGAGTTAGAGATCCTGAGGGAAAGAGACTCCTCCAGTGAGGCATCAGCTTCTCGTTTGCCTCCTCAGGAGAGACCTCCAATAAAACCCTTTGTCCTCACTCGGAGCGTTGCCCAAGCACAAGTGTTTGGAGCTGGGTACCCAAGTCTGGCCACTATGACAGTGAACGACTGGTATGAGCAGCAGCAGAAATGTGAGGTTTTACCGTCATCAGATAAGGAAGTTGAAAAGCAAGCACCACCACCTGATTCCCACAGAGTGGCTCAGCAAGAAGAAGAGCCGGAGCTGGAGCAAAAGGAAGAAGAGGAAGATGAGGATGCCCTCCACAGGATGCAGCAGTGGGATGACTGGAAGGACACCCATCCTAGGGGCTATGGCAACCGACAGAACATGGGCTAACCTCCCCTCCAGTGGGAAAAGGATGCTGGACCACTCATCTCCTCACACAAGGGTAACCCTGTTCTCTTCCCTTGCTTGTGCCCCTCCTCCAGACGTGTGCAACAAAGGCAAAGATACTGAGTCTTGTTTCGCATTCAATAAAGTACCGCTTTTGAGATTTATTTGCACCCTATTTAATATCCGGTGCTCTCGTTTGGGCATTATTCTCATGAAGGTATATTGCAGTTTCTTAAGCGGATAGAAAGAGTGTTGAGAAATGGTTGTGCAAGCATTGACTGCATGATTTCTCTTTAAAAAAAAATAATAAAACCCCCTTTGCTTTGAAAGATTTTATATATATATATATATATATATATATATCTCCAGAGAGAACACTCACGTAAGTTTCATTACAGTGTTTTTAATTATTGTTATTATCTGGGTGTGAGATAAATTAAACCACTGTAGATATGTGCATTTGGGAAAATATATAGTATATGTAAGATTGGATCATACCTGAATGCTGCTGTTTAAGAACAGCAAATTGAGAAACCCCCCAGGAGGATGTTAAAAATGGCCTGATGAATATGGGAAATACTGCCAAACACTCAACTGGGTTTGTTTTGGTTCTAGCAGACTAAGTCACATGAGCTTACAGAACAACCAGCTTCTTTAGTTATGGGATGTCTGAACAGCCACCTTCTTTAATTATGGAATGTCTAGAATCTTCTCAACAAAGAGTTTATATGAAGGTGGTAGCTTCATTATTATTTGCTGAGATTTAAATATGACTTAATTTTTTAATCTTACATTTACAATAGAAATAGCTTCCTAGCCAGACAGTGGTGGTGCTTGCCTTCAATCCCAGCACTTGGGAGGCAGAGGCAGGCAGATCTTTGTGAGTTCGAGGCCAGCCTGTTCTATAAGAGCTAGTTTCAGTACAGCCAGGGCTGTTACAAACATAGAGAAACTCTGTCTCGAAAATCCTAAATAAATTAATTAATTACATTTAAAAAGAAAGAAGAGAAATAGCTTTCTGAAAGGAGAGTAGAAACTTAACAATATCTATCAAATATAAAAATACAGATATTCAACTCAGTATTTTCACATCCTTATATGTAGAAAGCTGATTTACACAAAGGTATAATATGGAAAAGTGGTGATATGTTCCTTGTAAACTCTAAAAGCTAGAAACTATATTTTCATCTAAAGAGACCTGGGTAAACGATCTTTTTTGTAACCGTCATACAATAGGTTGTTAGTATACTGTGGGAAAAAGATGATTTGGTTTTGTATGAGATAATTTAGGATTATTTCCCAAACTATATTAGTTCATAAGAAAAATGAGATGAAAAAAATAAATGAGAATGAAACCCTCTTAATTGTGCACAGGGAAATAACCATGAGCATTATGGTATGCTATATAGGTATCTGCTGTTACTACTCACTCTGAATCATCAATCACATGCATGCTTATTATGAGTTAAAATATTCAATAAGTTTATTGATGACTTCTGACAAATGATGAGCAACTGGCTCCTCACGAAAACAAAAAACAAAAAGAAAACAAAAAAAAAAAACAAGAACAGTTAATTTGACATGTCTGCCAATGTATGTAAAGATACCCACCATGTTGATATCAACAAATTTTCACTGAATTCAGAGGCAGAAAAATATATTCATAATTCATTTTTTTCTAGCCAGGATGAGCCAGGTGCAGAACATTACTAGAGCTAGGGAATTCTCCGGGGTTTGTGTTACTGAAGCTATGTGAACCCCGGCTCTCAGCCCTCTTGTACATCACTAACTGTCTCTAATATTAAGAATACAGGAGCCACTGAGCAGTGTAGAACTTCTGAGCAGTTTAATTTCCCTATGAAGTTGGGTGAGCAGAGCTGCTAAGTTTAACTTTCACACTAAACAAAGATCAGGCAATTTACATGATTTTCTTTTGCCCCTGTTGGGCTCTTAGATGTGTTTGCATGTAGAGTAAAGAAAATATTAGGTATAGCAAGAATGAGCTATCAAACTGATATTTCCTGACCTTTTGAAATGGAAAACACATCTTAAATTAACAACATGCATGGGCTAAATGAAATGAGTTCTGCCCTTTGACGTCAAACTATTTGCTTTCTAGATATGTGTGTGTGACCATCTACTTCCCGACAGAAGCTCTAATACTAGGTCTTTCAAAATCCCCACAGTAAATGCCTGGCTAAATAACAAGGAGGGAGAAATGATCTTTCCCCCTAAGTGATTGCTGATCCAAGCAGCACTTTCCTCATTTACCCAATGCACTGTCATCTGCCTACCATCACATCTGGGCAAAGGTCATGCAGCAATGGTGTTTATCTATGTCTGTGTTTATTCACAGCTGGATGTAGCCAGAAGGTGTAGTTGTAATGGGGAAAGAAAAGAGAATTCAGGAAAAAAAAAAAAAACATAAGGAAGATGAGTGTGACTTTCTGTTGACAGCATATAAATCTTCCCCATCATGTGGAGGCCAAGAAAAGGCCGAAAGAAGTGAACTTATTGAAACCAGAATTTTTTTCATGAAAATTAATATGTCCTCAAAAATATATAGTTCAAAAATAAGCTTAGAGAAAAATAAATACAAATTTTAGCAAAGGTATAACACATGAACTTAAAGTACAGGAATCATGTTACAGGGCAACATTGAAACATTTTGTAGAGATAGGTATTTGCTTGTACACATGAATCATGTTACAGGGCAATATTGAAACATTTTTAGAGATAGGTATTTTTAGAGATATGTATTTGCTTGTGGAAATGTTGCATTTCTAAAAGACATTGGCGAATTTTTAGTTTTAGGTATTTCTATTTTACTTATGAAACCATATATGTGAACCTTGAAAAGCATTTTCCCTGCCCATTTAATAAAATTATATCTCCAATTCCAATTTTTAAAATTAACATATCAGATTAAATTTTAATCTGATTTTTACTAACCAGCAACATTTCTGTATAATATTTGCCAGTTTTTTATGTTCTATACATTATCTTAAAATTATAAAGGGACATTAAAATCAAATAATAGATGCCAATGCTAATAAACATTAATTCCCTAACAAACATCGTAGGGACGGAAGAATCTTTTGTCTTTCTTCCTTATTTATTTATTTATTTATTTATATTTATTTATTTATTTTTATGAGACTCTATATACTTTGTGGAAAATGCTGACCGAAAAGCATAAAAGGTTGATGTAGAATACGTGACTACAGGTTGGAAAAAAATCAAAACTAAGAGACAGCCCTTTAAGAGTACTATAAGTTTTCTCTGCACATTCGAGTTTGTTGAAACACAACTGAAATAAAGTTGTAGGATAGTACACATCCCTTTGTAAGGATGCAAGCAGCATGCTTTAAGTCCTTCTCATCAGTGAAGAGGACTAAGTCTCTGCTGTGATAGCTGTGTAACTGATGTCGCAACAGTGCTCTGAATCATCAGCTGGGTAATAGCAAACTTCTGTGCACAGACATCTGCACTACAGCGTGTCCTTCTAAAGCTTGAAAGCAGTGTCAGGTTTCCCTTTAGACAAAGCTGTTCAGAACCAAGCCTGAGTGAAATGTCAGCTTCTGGTCTCTGAAACCAAAGAACAGTATGTCTAGCTTAACCAAACTAAGTTTTGCCTTGCCATAGTCAGAAATCTACAGCTTGCTTCACACATGCCAAGCCAATATAATCCCAAACAAATACTGCTCAGCTGAAACTTCTATGCGAACTGCACTGGAAACACAAAAGACACCTTAGAAATATGCTTAAACAGTCAAAGTTCTCTAATCTCAATGAAATTTTAATGTGTATAAATTGCAAGGAATTTATAGACATCATGGTGTTATTAACTATGATATTTGGGAAAGATTATTCTATAATTATGTTTCAATTGATGGAACGCGTATATCTGCAGACTCCAACCAAAATGGAAAAGATCTATGACTAGAATGTACACATGAATTGACATGATTAAAAGAATATTGAAGACTTAAGCAGGCAGATAATGCAGGAACTTGTTTAATAAACGCAGTGTCGCACTTAATCTAAGACAGACCATCACGAAAAATTTTAGCCATTGCATTGTTCACCTCTTCATTCTAAAGTGTAATTGTCAGCTTTGTTTCCAGATGCCAGAGGAAGTGGCTGCATCTTTGGGATATTTACAATTTGTGCAATTTATTGAGACAGATCCAATTCCTTTTTTATTTGTTTTCCCAAAGCACCCATTTTTTTTGCCTTTGCTGACCAGTGCAAAATCAGCCTCACTAATGTTTATAAAATACCACATTATAGTTAGATATCGAATCCAAATGCAAGCACTGCAGTTCTAACAGATAGGAGTTTGATGGAGTCTGTCTTTAGACTGCTGCTGTCCAGACCACCTAAGCATAGGTGCTGCAAAACTCAGTGGCATTAAACAATGGAGAGGAACACAGCCAGGTGTACATGTATATGCATGTGCACATGTGTGCGTACGTGTGTATATGTGTGTGAGTGTGTATATGTGCGTGCTTATGTGTCATGTCTATGTGTGTGTGTAAACATGTACACTCAGGCACTCATATACACTTTGGGGGGGGGAAGGAAATGGATAACACTACGAAAAATAAAGTAAGTGTATCTATTTTAAAAGATTCTAAAACTTCCATATAAAAGTATGGAAATATCCCCCTGATGGCTATTTATTTATATTAAGATAAACACAGTAGACATTAATGTTTACATTAAGCTATGAATTAAATTATTATATGTGATTATGCACATGTGTGTATAGAGGCCAAAGGACAACCTTGGGTGCTGGTCCTTAGGCTGCTTACTTTTCAAACCAGGGTCTGTTATTGGCCAGAAGATTACAAACTAAACTAGGCTGGGTGGCTAAACTACCACAGAAATCCACCTGTCTCTGCCGCCTACCACTGGGATTACAGGTGTGCACTACCCTGCCTGGATTCTCTGTGTAGATTCTGGGAACTGATCTCAGATGCCTTCTGAGTCATCTCCCAAGCCAACAGGTTATAGAATTATTTTGAATTTTTGAAAATACTTAAAAGGCCATTATAGTTCAATGTTTAAATGCTTGTGGATGATATTCTTATAAGAATTATCAACTACAGTAACTAAAACTGCCATTATGTAGCTCCTAACTAAATGACATAGGTGCTATTTCTAGGTGGTTAAGGACAGCTGAAATATTTTTCCTTTTTCCTTCAATCATTTCTGAAATTCTTCCTTCCTCTCCCACACTGAAAACCAACTTCAGGACAGTGTATTCTCGCTGGGCAAAAGTATTTCCACAGACTCTAG